TTCTCTTTCACTCCGTCCACAGCTTATGAACATTGGGGCGCGGCGGCCTCCACCCAGGAAGATCATCATGAACGTGTCGGTGAATGATGATGTTCAGCTGAAAAAATCAGAGAATGCCTGGAAACCTGGCTTGAAGAGGGAAAGCCCTGCAGATGATCCCGAGATTCAAAAAACACAGGTGGGTCCAACTGTACGCACAGACATGTACACAAACACACATTAAATTAAGCGTAATATATCTTGGTTTCTGTAATTGTAGCCTTCGATCACAGGGACAAATGATGTACATCATTCCCTGAACCTGCACTGTCTTTGGTGAAAGTGCTTTTAAAGTTTTAGGATTAAGGACTGTTTCACCACTGAATGTCCTGTGACTGAATACTGCTAACTCATTGCCTGATGTAATTTCCTGTTAGTTGTAAGCCTTTTGGTTGTTTATGTGATTTGTTTTATGCTGCCTTGTCTTCACGTTGTGTCTGTTGTTGTTTTTCTTTCATCTAAAACCAAAATGAGTGTTATATACTCTGGAAATGGTGTCTTTATCAAAAACTACAGCCCTCTAACTGAGTTAGATTTTAATGATACGTCAAAGATGCTCTCCAAATAACATGATTGATTAACCGCCCCTTATGACTGATTCCCCTCAGGAGCTCTTCAGGAAGGTACGCAGCATCCTGAACAAGCTCACGCCTCAGAAGTTCAACCAGCTGATGAAGCAGGTGACGGACCTGACCATCGACACCGAAGAGAGGCTCAAAGGGGTCATCGACCTGGTCTTCGAGAAGGCCATCGACGAGCCCAGCTTCTCCGTGGCCTACGGAAACATGTGCCGCTGCCTCGCCACGGTAAGCAAGTCAGAACGGTTGAAGCACGCCGACCTCGGGGCAGAAAAGAAGCGTGTTTGTGTTTCTAAGGTCAATGGTTTAAATAATTCAACTGATCTGGAGGATCTTGAAGGGGGAAGTGAATAAATAATCGTACCTCAACTATCTGTGGTCCATTTAAAGGGGACGTTTTCCTAATTCAACAGACTGCAGGTTACTGTAGGCGTGTGCATCGTAACTGAAACCAATGTAATTTGCATCTTAATGTACATTCAACAACTCGCTAAATGTTTAAGCTGCGAACGGATCGATGGGTTTAGATTCACCTCTGCCTTGATGCAATATAATGTGGCGCGACACAGCACAGGTCAGTACAATGTGACGATATAGTGTGCAACATTTTCAGATGTGCACACGCATTATCGTAAGTAGTGGGAGATGAAAAGAAGGCTGCTGTTGTGTTGAATTTGGCGAAAACATGAAATAAGTCGTCTTTTAATAATTCTTTCAAATGGGTCGCTGTTCATTAAAAATGGATTTCAGCAATGAGGAGCTTAAAATAATCACACACACACGGAAATGGAAATGTTGGCATGTATGAGACAAAGGTGTGTTTTGTGCAGTATTTCCTGGTCTTCAACATTATACATTTGTCTAAAGTACTTGTGTTTCTTTACTTTATCTTCTCTGTCTCCTGTCCACGTACAGCTCAGAGTGCCCATGACAGACAAACCCAACACCACAGTGAACTTTCGCAAGCTGCTGCTAAACCGCTGCCAGAAGGAGTTCGAGAAAGACAAGGTGGACGATGTGGTGTTCGAGAGAAGGCAGAAAGAGCTGGACTCTGCTGCGTCGGTACGTGGTCTATGAATTACTCAACGCCGGCTGTACCCAAAACATTTTTAAAGAGAGAGAGAGAAACTCAAAGTCTTAAAAAAAAAAGTATTTGTTTGATGTTTCCTTTGTCCCCTCAGGCCACGGAGCGTGAGCGGCTTCAGGAAGAGCTGGAGGAGGCCAAGGACAAGGCCCGGCGGCGTTCCATCGGCAACATCAAGTTCATCGGCGAGCTCTTCAAGCTCAAGATGTTAACAGAGGCCATCATGCACGACTGTGTTGTTAAGCTGCTGAAAAATCACGACCAGGAGTCGTTGGAGTGCCTGTGCAGGCTGCTCACCACCATCGGCAAGGACCTCGACTTTGAGAAGGCCAAGGTGAGGCAGAGAATAAAAGTTGATTCTACGAAGTGAGCCTGAGTGGTTAAATACGTTGTAGGATTGTGATGAAACATTTTAGAAAATACAGTTTTGCTGCTTTCTTGCCACAAATTATATAAGCGGGCGATGTCCCCTACAGTTAATACGAGTCTACAGCCAGCAGCTGCCAATAAACGTATTAAAAAAAGGTTAAATTATTCCTTTAATTTGTGACAGGTAGCTTCATTGCTACACAATTGATTAAAAAACATTAAATCAGAATCCAGAGACTGTGTGTCAGACATCCTTCAAACCAAGGTGTCTGTAATTGTACAGTCTAAATATTATATTTAATTAGTGTGTTTAGGAGGTCAATGCCGTGTAGGGCTGTCACTTGCAGTTGTATTGCGTCATACATACTGGCACAACCTCAAGGCTGTGAATGTCTAGTCGTTCATAACATATTTAGAGGCTCACTGGCACTGGTGTCAGACCTCGAACCGGCTGGATGTTTGTCTCTGGCTGTAATAAAAACAAGACTCAAATCAAAAGTAATTCAGCCGGGATAATGTCAGAAGGTGAACACCCGTTATTTGACATCAATACAGTGTGTTTCCGCCTGTCACCAAGATAAATCCCTCTACGTTGGTTGGTTACTTGGCATGTGAGGTGATTCTGATCTACGGCAACACGGTGGTGGTGAGAGACATGAAAGAGAAAGTTCAGGTGGGATTCGATCCCACGCCGGCTGGGCTACATTCGGTTCCAGAGGCAGAAGCAGGAACTGTTCATGCAGGGAACGGGAATATCCCCAGAGTGGATGCTCTGCTGTAAACATCAGCGACTCCCAGCTGGACACAGCGAGAGTCTTCAGATCCTTGGAGAGACAAAGCTGACCCCGAAGGCCTCTGCTGCACTGTGGATGTGTCACCGGTCACCCTGCAAATAGGAAACTGCTGCGACCTCAGCGTTACAACTTCATTCTGCTTCCTTTTCCTTTTCTGTTTGCTGCTTTGCACCGTTGAGCAACATGAAAGCGCCGGTTTTTACAGTAAATCCTACAGAATGTGGTCATAAATCACCCCTCTTGTCCTTCAGATGAGTTTCATCCGGTTTAATGTGGTAATTTTCTGAACACGGTCGTTTTAATGTCGGGCCATTACGCTGAATTGGATCTGTTCTTTTTTTGGACTATTACAGTTTTTGTTCTGCCGTTTCCCAAAATGTTCCAATTTAATCGGGGGGCGGTCGGGACCGCTCCTGCGACGAGTAATAAACCGAACAATCAGTTTAGTAAAATATGTGGAAACCCCTGAAACCTGCTGTCCAGTAGATTGAAGGGAGAAATATCGAATTTAACCTTCATGTCTCAAATTAA